GCTAACGATTGGCCTGCTAGCCGTATAAGAGGCTTGAGCGGTTTCTGCCCAAGCCGAAGAGGACTCCACATCCATCTCGTGGGGACTCTGGGTACACGGCAGGGTAATAGAAACCCTGTGTGAGATTCAGAGGAGTTTGGCGACCTGATCCATTGCCCACCTCTTTCCGTCTTCGAGCGATAATTTTTTATAAGACGTATCTACGAAGTTTCTATTTCGGTGGCGCGCTTGTCCAGGGCATCCGGAGCTCTGTTTCTGTGGAGCCTAGCAAACTCCACGTGGTTGTTCGTGTTGTTTTTTGTTTGTAACTGCAACTCAAGCAAGTTTTCCAGCCTGCACCGCAACCATCTTCGGTGTAAGTAAACAATCTTTAAATCTACCATTATGAGTCCGCGCCTAATTCTAGCGTGTCGCCGCGTTCTCTCCGACCCCGCGTGCCCGGGCTGCTGGCCACAGCCCGTGCAGAGCACAAAAAAGGGCCCAGCTCACACCCGGCCCGCACAGTCTTCAATTTAAACCACTTTTGGAGCTAACTGGAGGTCAGACTGAGAGTCAGAAAAAGCGAGAGAAATAGGTGCATGTTTGCAAGGGGAAAGAAGTTGTAGATATGACTTCAATCTATGTTGTAAATCATTTCTTGACCAGGGGAATTTGGTTGATTTGAATTCAAATAAATATATATTTAAGGGGGAAAATCTGTTTCTTTTCAGCTGTGAAAGTGTTCTTGACAAAGGAACCCAGAGCAACTCTATTATGTGCAATGGAGGGTGGATAAGAGGTACTACCAATATATTCAATTCTTAGAGCATGGGGTCAGTAGAAGATGTGGGTCATGGGTGGAGGGTGGAGATCAGCTCCTTGCATGGATCTCTCCTGTAGAAGTCTGAAACTGAAACAGATTTAGCCAGTAAACTGATCAGAGTTTGCAGGTTCATTTCACAGGTTCCTGTGCCATGCAAGTCTGCTTAGAACAGCCAAAGGACTTTCCACAAAAGGAATGAATCAGTGGAGTGCATTGGTTCTTTCATTTTTTGTGGCATCACTAAGCTAATTTGGTTGTACCCTGACCAAGAAGCTAGCTCTTAAAAGCGAATGTCAATTTAGGGAATTTTTTGATAAATCAATTGTTCAGTAGAGAAGCAACTGAAGCATGTCCACCTTCATATCTCAAACTGAGTCACTGGCATCTCTCAAAAGCAGTCATGCTTAGTGAACCAAAAATGCTGAATGCAGTGTCTAACAAAAATGTCAGTTATTGCTTATAATAAAAATCATAAAGGGCTGAACTCACTAAAATGAACTAAAATACTTACCACATTTATATTTCACACCTTGCAACTTTGGAGTGGCTTTAACACATTTATTAATTAATTCACAGAATTTATCTACATCCATTTTACAGATGGATGTGAAGCCAAGAAAAGAGAAATTAAGTGACTTCTCCAATACTGCACTTTTCAGAGCCTGATTTGAGAAATGGGGCTTATTAGCCCACACTGGGGACATCTACACGTGGAAATAATGTGAAGCAATAAACTGGATTTTATTGCTCTGGAGTTTATTACTTCCAAGTGCACCATTTGAACATGCACCCAGGACCACAGCAGGTTGGAGCAGACCTGGCTGGCAGAGGGCTGCTCTCACCTGGCTCAACGTACTATGGAGGGGCTGGTTGGGGCACTATGCTGGGGCACACATTTGTGCCGATACTATGTGCTGCGGTGCACGCCCCCACCCTTGTGCTTTGCAATGGGAAACATTGTCCCACTGTTCCATGTGCTGCAAGCAGGGGGCCTGGGGTACAGGGCGCCTCAGCAGAGGTAGCCATCCCCTGTGCTGAGGCACCCTGGGCCCTGGCCAGCTGGAGACTGGCATGTGGAGATGGGGGAGCAGGCCAGCCCAGCGCTGCCTGCTCCTCCGTCTTGAGGCACCCTGAGTCCCAGCCAGGTGGGGAGTGGCTGGCTGGGGCACAGGGTTCCTCTGCACAGGGTTCCATGACTGATGGAGATGAGCGAGCAGGCAGTCCTGGGCTGCCTGCTGCCCCATCTCTTCATTTGTCCCGGTGCTCGCCACTTTGGCGTGTGTTGTGCCATCGTTTTCCAGGATGATTTTTTTTGCTACCAGGAAATCCTGGTAACAAATTTTGCCCCAGCACTGGAAATTAGCAGCACTGAGAACTGATTGATGTGCAACTTGTGTGGTTTGTGGCACTTGTGCAGTTTGTGGTACAAACCACATGTTCCTGTATGTCTGGATCCAACTTTTATGTTTTTCCATTTATCATAAGACCTTTCCCTATAATTCAGGAGGCAAATGCATATTTTAATTTATTTTTTAACATAAGTGATTTGACTTCCTTGGAAGATAAAGCACTTACTCTCTGAAAAATAAGCACCGTAGGTAGAAGCAATACAAAATTCTTCCACTGTTTTAAGAAAGAATCTTAATCCTTGTTCAAAGAAGCATTTGAAGGTCCACCAGCAGTTCAGTCTTTGGCTTCTCAGCTGGCACAGAATGCCAGCTGTAATGTTGGTGGTCACTTGGTTATGAATATATGGACTAAGAACCAGGGAGACATGTTATACTGTTTCTTACACAGCCATCAGCTGTCAAATAATTAAGGCTTTCAGTTGATGCTAATACAGATTATATGTGAACTAATGAGCTGAAGCAAATCAGAAATTTCTCATCTGTGAAAATTTAGACTTGTAAAAAATGGAAAAGCCAAAATGTTTTGGTCCAAAAATTTTAAAAGTGTTACTATGATGACACATGGGAGCTGTAATTTGGGTACTGCATGTCCTTATGTTTCACTATGGGTTGGGTTTCCTGGACAGATAAAGCTCCCATGGTCCATCAGTCTCTGATTTTCCAGAGCTCCTCAATGCACCATAGCTGATGACATATTATGGAAAATTAGCCTGTAGAGGCATGGAGCACCCAACCACAGTTTTATGAAGCACCACATTTCTGAATCAAAAAAATTCAGTCCCCTGGTATCCCGTGTTTCAACAAAACCTTACATTTTCTGCAGAGACTAAGCACTTTTGCAAAATAAAAATATTTAATAGAATACTGACATTTCTATCAATACACAGCTTTGACGGGAATTTTACAGGCAGCCCTAGTGAAAAGCATCCTATCCTATTACCAAGCTATGAGTTATCAAGTCCCATATTCCCTTTCCCTATGCTCTAACAAAAGGAATGAAAACTCAAGATTCTTATCCACTTTTCTTTATTCTGCCAATTTGGCTGAAATATGAACAGTGAGATTTGGAATAACTCCTTGCTCTTGACTGGGTAGGATCTGGTTTCCAAACCTAATCTGCAAAGAGTCCCAGGATACCTGTTATCTCACTTGTTAATAATATAAAGAGAAATCTTTATTGGGGTCAACGGACACATGTGTGCACACACATGCGCACATACACATACAGACACACCTTGTGCCTTTGTAACTCTCAAATTAACTAAACAGAACCTGGGCTAACTAATAGCATCATCCTAACATGGATGAAACAGTTGAAAGAGTGCATGAAGAGTGGTCATTCCTCAAGAACACGATCCTTAAAGCACAAAAGAAGTCCATTCCAATGAGGAGGAAAGATAGCAGAACTACTAGTAAGCCCTCTTGGCTTAATAGGGATATCATAATCCTCTTGAAAAAGAAGAAAGAGGCATATAAACAATGGAAGCTTGGGATAGTCCCTAAGGAGGACTATATAATAACAGCCCGCACTTGTAGGGAGAAGATTAGAAGGCTAAGGCGGTGACTGAATTTAAACTAGCTACAGAAATCAAGGGCAATAACAAGTCCTTCTTTAGGTATGTAGGGAACAGGAGGAAAACAAGTGGAAACTAAACTCCTGAATACTTGCTTCAGTATTTCATTGGACTAAGGGGACAATCATACTAGATAAGGTTAAGAATGGGCATGGTGGGAATAACCACCTTTCTATTGTTGATATTGAGCTGGTGCATGATCAGTTAGAAAAGTTAGATATCTATAAGTCAGCAGGACCAGATGAACTTCATCCGAGAGTGCTGAAGGAGCTGGCTGAAGTCATCTTGGGATGTCTGGTGAAACTCTTCCAAAACTTGTGGCACTTGGGGGAAGTCCCTGAAGACTGGAAGAGGACCAATGTTGTGCCCATCTTCAAGAAGGGGAGGAGAGAGGACCTGTGCAACTATAGATCAATTAGCCTAACTTCTATCCCAGGGAAAATCCAGGAAAAAATCATCAAGGAGTCTATGTGGGATACGTTACCAGAAAGTAGGATTCTGAATGACAGCAGGCATAGCTTCATCATGGGCAGTTCTTGTTTTACCAATCTCATCTCCTTCTATGACCAGGTAACTCACCTGGATAAGAGAGAGGAGGTTGACGTTGTATACCTACACTTCCTAAAGGCCTTGATTTGATGTTCTCATGGGAAAAATGGAGGATTGCAGGCTTAAATGCTTGACAGTCAGGTGGGTAGGAAGCTGGCTGCAGGGTAGGACCCAGAGAGTTCTAATGAATGGATCTGTCATCCTGGCGAGAAGTGGTCAGTAGAGCTGTGGGACACTTCGGTTCCTGATTCAATTCGGTGGAAATCTGGCCCAATTTGGAGGCCAAATCTCCAAATCTGAATCAAATCAGGAGACCCTTTAATCTCTCTGAATTGAATTGGAAACCTCCAAATTGATTTGGAGAGATACGGAAAGATGCGGCAATTCAGACATAGACACAGCTTTAAATGTATTTTCTACATACCTCAAGGTGTCAAGGGGCTTGTGAATGCAGCAATGCTGGGGCGCATGGAGTGTCCCACAGAAGGGTGGGGGGCTCCCACGCATGCTCGGCAGCAGACCTGGAAGTGGACCAGAAGCTGGGTACTCCCTCCTCCAGGGAGTGTATGGGGGTACTCCCCCCTTGCCTCCCCAACTCAGCGACTAGTGCCTCCTGGGTTTGGAGGTACACCCAAGGTCTCCCCATGGCTGAGCACTGAGCCAGGGGGAGCATAGTGGGACCCCCCAACGTACTCCTGGAAGTGGACTGGAAGTAATTCCAGTTCACTTCCATGTTCACCGCCAAGCACATGGAGGACCCCCTGCCACTCCTGTGGGATGCTCCATCCACCCCAGCATTGCAGCATTCACAAGCCATGCTGTTACCTCGAGGTATGTAGAAAAATCATTTAAAACTGCGTCTATATCCAAATTGTTGATTCTCCGAAACAGTATCAAATCTTCAGATTCAGATTTGGCCAAATCAGGGACAGTGATCCAAATCAACAAATTGAATCACTGTCCTTGATTCAGGCCAAATCCAAAACTGAATCCAATAGGGCCCACTTCACACAACCCTAGTGGCTAGTGCTGTCCCTCAGGGGTCCATGCTTGGTCCAGTGCTTTTTGACATCTTTATCAATGATCTGGATGTGGGGGTGAAGAGCTCACTGGCCAAGTTTGTGGATGACACCAAGTTATGGGGGAGCATTGTCACACTTGAAAATAGGCTGCAGATATAGGTGGACCTATATAGGCTGGCAGGTTGGACCCAGATCGGAACCAGATGAAATTCAACATTGAGAAATGTAAAGTAGGGCTTTGCCATGGGGGAACCCCTGCCAGTCCACATCCCCTGATCCCTGATCACTCTCCCAGCCCTATCAATGGCTGCCCCGCACAGCCCCAGCATCCCAGCACTTTAAAAAAAAAAAAAGCCCTGCACTCACTGGCTGCTGCCAGGTGGGGTGGTAATCCCTGCTGCCCCCCACTGCCCCACACTGCATGGGGGGCTTTTCCATGAGCCCCCATTCCTTGCCTGCTCTCCCAGCTCTATTAATGGCTGCCCCGCCCAGTCCCAGTGTCCCGGCTTTAAAAAAAAAAAGCCCTGCACACACTGGCTGCTGCAACAGCCATCGGGGCTTCTGGGGGCTCATGGCAGAGCACCCTATGCAGTGTGGGGCAGTGGGAGATAGCGGGGATTGCACCTCCCCGCCCGGCAGCAGCCAGTGAGTGCGGGACTTAAAAAAAAAAAAAAGAGCCGGGACTCTGGGGCCAGGCAGGGAAGCCATTTGATGGGCTGGGAGAGCGGGCGGGGGATGGGGCCTGTTTGATTCAGAGATTCGACTGATTTGGTGGTGGCCGAATCTATTTGGGACAGTGATTCAAATCACTGAATCAAATCACTGTCCCCCAAATCAGATGAATCTGAATCCGAAGCGAATACTAGCCACTTCGTACAGGCCTAATGTAAAGTGCTATATCTGGGGACAAACAATCCCATACTTACAGGCTCAGTGGCACCAAGCTGACTAGCATCATGGCTGAAAGGGACCTAGGGGTAATAATAGACCATAGTATGAACATGAGCCGTCAGTATAGTGCCAGCAGAGCAAACAATACTCTGGCATGCGTCAACTGAAGCATATCAAGCAAAACCGAGGAAGTGATTACTCAGCATTGGTGAGACCACAGCTGGAGGACTGCGTCCAGTTCTGGGTGCCACACTTCAACAAGGATGTGGAAAAGCTTGAGAGAGTCCAGAGAAGAGTCATCCTTATGATCAGAGACTTGCAAAGCAAACCATATGAGGAAAGGCTGAGGGACTTGGGTCTCTTCAGCCTAAAAAAGAGAAGGCTGAGAGGATACTTTGTAGCAGCTTACAGCTATATCAGGGGACTACATCAAGGGCTCAGCAAACAGCTGTTCACCAGGGCACCCTGGGGAAAACCAGGATTAATGGCCACAAAGTCCTGGAAGACTGTTTCAGACTTAACACTAGGAAAACTTCACAGTCAGGGTGTCCAGACTGTGGAATAAACTCCCTCCCGCGGTGGTGCAATCATCTACCCTGGAAATCTTCAAGATGGGATACAATACTAACAAGTGCAGAGTACTGCACTTGGGCAGGAAGAACCAGCAGCATACCTATAGGCTGGGGAACTCCCTTCTTGAAAGCACAGTGGCAGGAAGAGATCTTGGAGTTGTTATTGATCTTAATATGAGCATGGGCCACCAATGTGAGGGCCAGTTCTGGGCGCCACGCTTCAAGAGGGATGTAGACAACATGGAGAGGGTCCAGAGGAGGGCTACTCGCATGATCTGGGGGCAGCAAGGCAGGCCCTACAAGGAGAGGCTACGGGACCTGAACATGTTCAGCCTTCACAAGAGAAGGCTGACAGGGGATCTAGTGGCCGTCTATAAACTTACCAGGGGGAACCAGAGGGGAATGGGTGAGACCCTGTTCCCCCGAGCACCTCCCAGAGTAACAAGGAATAACGGCTACAAGCTGATTGAGAGTAGCTTTAGGCTGGACATCAGGAGGCACTACTTCACAGTTAGGGCGGCTAGGATCTGGAACTAGCTTCCAAGGGAAGTGGTGCTGGCTTCTACCCCGGGGGTCTTTAAAAGAAGGCTTGATTACTACCTAGCTCAGGTCATATGAGCTTAACTTAGTGGGGGTCATATAAGCCCAGTATTCATTCCTGCCCATGGCAGGGGGGCAGACTTGATGATCTGCTCAGGTCCCTTCTGACCCTGCATCTATGAATCTAAGAGGAAACTGGATGGTCACCTTGCTGGGGTCACCTGACCCCAGGTGTCTTTCCTGCCTAGTACAGGGGGGCTGGACTCCATGATCTTGTGAGGTCCCTTCCAGCCCCTAACATCTATGAATCTATGAAAGAGAAAATGCTGGTGACAACAAAAAACCTTCTACTTCCTCTTCTACCAAGCCTTGTCAAACCTTCTACCTTTTACCAAACCTTCTATTAGGCCTCATCTACCTCATGCTTGAAACATAGCATTACTAATTCTTTTAGAAGCAGCCATATGAATACATATTGATTCTCTTTTGAAAATCATGGCTAAAGCTTATAATAATTATGATTAAAAAGTGCCCATGTAGCACTTTCCATCTCCTGAGTTTAAAGTGCTTTAGAAAGGTGGGTAAATAGCATTATCACTGTTTTACAGGTGAGAGAATTGGCACAGAGATTATCTTATTTGTAGACGTTTACACAGTGAGTCAGTGCAGGGAAGAGAATAGAAGACAGGTAGGTCTCTTTACACTCAGTCTGTGGCCACTGGCATGCAGGCCATACTGCCTCCCTTTGAAGTCAGGTAGATATGGTTAATCAAAAGTTTTATTTCTCATCAGCATTAATTATATGTTTTTTCTAGTCAAGGTCAGGACTGCAGCTATATAATCTCCAGTAACTCCTAAAAATGTAAATACAGTGGCATTTCCCATGGAGTACCTGGAAGCTGTGCCTAGAGCTGTGATCCATGCCTGGAAAATGCCAGCAAGGAACGAGAAGGGGCTTTTTCTTGTTATCACAAAGTACAGTAATGGCAAGAAGATCCCACCATGGATGATGAGGCCCACGATCACTGTTACCATGTACATGCCCAGTTGCCTAGCAACCACTTCTAAGTCCTTGATTGCAATGATTTTCCCACAAATGAGGCAGGCAATGCCCAAAGGTGAGTACCTGGAAAATAAAACAAACACAGATAGAATTGATCCTTACAGCATGCAGCCATAAAACTTGTGCTCAAAGGTGGATAAAAATACAGGATTTTCAGGTTGAACCCACTAAGAGATGAAGAGAGCTCACTAAAAGGATACTGAATTACTGAATGAGGACATCCTTCATGCTGTTTTTATATGGTATGGATAAACCTGGTTCATTTAAGTAATACAATAATATCCTATGGCCACAGCCAAAGGTACTTGCTCAATTTTACTCATTCTCATTGAATTTAACATGCCTTTCTTAAGGAAAGATTCAGCTTTATGGTAATATCCCATCAGAATATAGGAATGAGATTATACATACGTGTTTTGGACCATTACTAAAAAATAGTGATTTATATACACATACCTGTTACATAGCAGCTTTTATCTGGTTTAGGGCTGAAATATTTGCTGCAGATAAATGATCTGATAAATATAGCCCCTTTTCTGTATGAACCTGCCTGCTTTCTGCAAATGTCTCTGTTATAGTCATTAAACTATTTGACTTTCAGACTGTGGATTGATTGTTAATTATGTGCTCTGTTAATTTATTATATGATTAACTACCTAATCATCCTTGATAAGAGGAATGAAACTTAAATAGGAGAATAACAGTAGTACATTTTGATACTAAACAATTTATTTCTACAGCTCATAAATGACAAAGAGTGAGTATGTAGGAACACTGGAATGTGTGTGTTGGCAGGGAGGGGCATTCATTCACTCCTCTGTCACACAGCTTGTCTCACACACCCATTTCAAACAGATTTAACCTTCCTCTCCCTACTTTATAACAGTCTTACTGTGGAAAAAAAATAGCTGTGTTTCCAGGTGAAGAGGAAACAATAGAATGTCTTCTGAATAAATTTGTAGGGACTATACTTTCAAAATTGACTGGTGATTTGGCATGCCTACGTAGACATGACTGGAAAGGATCTGTGATAAAAGGTATGTGCTAAACCATGTCAGAAAATCCAGTTCCTTAAGGTATCTCAAGTTGAGCACTCAGCACCTGAGATGCTGAAAATCACGAGTGACTTTTGAAAACTAGGGCCAATTATTTCTAACTACTGCTCCAGCTACCACGGACATAGTCTGTTCTTGCTGAATGATTTACCATGTATAATCCCTGTAAAGGATTAAGCAACATCACTCTCAGATGCCAGACCATATTTTACTTTGTTATGGCACTTTGGTATTCAGGAGAGTCCCATGAATCATTGGAACTGCCAGAGGAGACAGATTTTTTTATGGACATGTCATAAATAACTAGACAGAATGCCCCTTTGGATAAAGAAGAATGGCATTTGTCTTTATAAACACACAATGCTAATTCTCTTGCCCAGCAACAGTTCTCGGCAAAGATGAATAAGAGGTGTTTTTACCATAATTCATTCTCCCTGTTTTAGGACAGAGGAACAAGCAGTTCATCAATGAAAAACAAATGATTTCTATGGGCTTCTTTAAAGCAGGATGACTGCCCATAATTGCAGCACTTAACACAACAGAAGCCTTGAAGCACACGTCTTAGATAATCAGTTATGTCTAGCATGTGCTTCTCAGTGCCAATACGTGAAATACTGGTAAACTTCTGGACTATTTGAAGCACTATAATCGTTGCTTCTAAATATATGTTATAAAAAATATTACGAATAGTCTTTTTGTTCACAAAAATAACTGCATCTGTTTTCAGAGGGGGGTCAAATTGAATATGAGAAGCAAAATGAGAAAGTGAGACATTTGTTTCATGAACTATTCTAGGTTTCTTGACAAGGTTTCTTGATATTTTCAGCAGTACCCCTTGTACACACCTGAAACCTAAAAGCACCAGTTATTCTTCCATATCCCCTGGGAATTACAGCTATTTAGAACCTCAGAGGGAGGCATAGTTTAGCCCTGTAACTTAAGAAATGATACTTTCATGAACATCTGGAGTTCAAGGGAAGCATATGCTGCAAAAGCATGGCCTGTTCTGTTCGGCTTAGTACAGAGATGCAAAAAGCCTGAGACAGAAGTGCTTTAAGTTTTACACTTTAAGTGCCCTAGCTTAGGTCAGGAGGGAACAAAACAGACATTCCTGTTTCTATGCATGGGGGAAGCAGGGTGCCTCCCAGCAGCTGGGCCACTCCTGATCGGCCAGTCCAGCCCTCTCCCCCAACCCCACCAGTCAGCTCTCAGTGGCAGCAAGGTGGCCCTCCCCACCAGTCTTGGCTGGCTCGTGCCAGGGGGTGCGGGGTGGAGGGGGGGCAGGGCCAGGGTAGTATGGCAGGGACATCTTCTCCCCATCTTGTACCATGCTGCATGAAAAACCCCCAAGCCTTGCCCCCTCAGTACTGGTAGGGGAGGCTGCCACTGCTGCCTGACTCCCCACTGATGAAAGGCACAGGCAAGAGCCTGCCTGGGCAGCAGCTGGGAGGTAGAAGATGTGCAGACCCCAGCTGGTGGGAGCCAGGCTGGGGGCTCCATTCCCCTTCCACCTGCTCCCCCTGAAGTTGAGAGGCAGGGGCTGGTGGAAAGCCAGGGCTGGAGTAAGTGACCCTGCAGGCTGGCTGAGCAGGGCAGCAAGGGGGGAAAGCACCCACCATGGGCCTGGCCCCTGTTCTGTAGACCCCAGCTGGGGAGGGCTAGGGCCAGGGTGGGGGACGCAGTTCTCCCCCTTACCTGTCCTCCGTACTGCTGCCAGCCAGCCTAGGGAGCAGAGGCTTTGCTGCCTCAGCTGTGACAGCCCATAGGTGGGGTGGGGTGGGGTGGGGTGCAGGGGGGCTGGCCCAGCTCAGCTGGAGCAGGTGAGGGGGAAAAGAAGCTAGCCCATCCACCCTGTGAGAGAAGATTAGCGGGGGGCCACAATGGCTCCTGGAATACCATGGGACTGCAACCTAGCTTGATTCAGGAGGGGTTCTGGGACAGAAGTTCAATAAAGTGGTCTAAACCTGACACGATATCCATCTTAAACTGTGTTAAACCATTTTGAAACTGGTCTATGTGCAATGAACTTCCATTCTGTTACAGTTTTAGACCAGTTATCGATCACTTACACCAGTTTATGTGTAATTTCTGCCCATAGTCTTCTTGCTCTTCACTGCTTATGGCAGACAGTGCATTAGAAATGAAGGACTAATCCTGACACAACACACCGCACAATAAGCCACTTAAATGCAAAAGAGTAGAGAGCTCTTATCTTGCTTTTCCCATCAGCAGTAGGCAATTTATGCCTGTGTCCTTTGCTGGGTTTGTGACTAAAGGGATTCATAGTTTCCTGTCTTCCCTTAGTTGGCAAGTGCATGACCTAAATGTATGGAAATCAAGAGGTTCCATGCCAAATGCCACAGTGCATGTCTTGTTCTGAAAATATAATTCTGTGACATGGATATGTTCAACACTTGTATACAAATAGCTCTGACGACCTCTCAGCTACATCAAGAAGAGGGAGAAAAAGTCTTCCTCAAGGAATGTAAGCAAAGCTTTGACCCTAAATGGGTAGATATACTTCCTTAAAAAGAAACTGGGTTTTGCTATTATGAATGAGCAGATTTTACACTTCTCTAGTGAGGCGGCTGAGTTCAGTATCACTTATTCTGGTGCATTTCTAGAATGCAGTCTGCATGTGGACTTTCTGCAGGCTAAGGGAGAAGACTTTTGTACGTTAGTCCAAACAGTTGGGTTCTCATTTCGATGGAATGTACGTTTCTGGTAAGCCAGTTTTGCTGTAAAACACTGTAAATAGAGCATCTCTCTTGACTACTCTGTAATTATACCTCCTAGTTAATAGCCTGTTATTATGCTAACCTCACAGGAAGATTTTGATGTTATTATGTTTTGAGGGCTTGTTTAGTTAGTAGGCTGTTTTTTAATGTAATGAACCTCTATAACAAAGGTGACATTTTTATGCAGGCGGTAAACCACTCTTAAACTATATGACTTGGAGTCCCCTAGGCAGAAAATGACAGCAGGCCTGCCATCTTTTGAGATGTTTCAAAACAAGATTTAATTACCTCCCACCAAACAGAAACACCCCTATTCCAGCTGTCTCATCCTTGTCATAGCTTTAAAAAGCAACCCAGTGAGCAGAAATACCTAATTGTATGGATTAAAAATAAAGAATGATGTATAGATAATGGACATCTGTGGCCTATGTCTTTTTTGAGTGCCAGGAGTTCTGTCCTCAGACTTACCACATGATCATAGTCACTAGTTTCATTACAATCTCATTCAGGATGTTGAAAAAGTCCACCATCATCTTGGCTTGTTCTCCCATCTTCCCCATAACAATGCCAAAAGCAATGAAGAACCCTATCAGACCTGTTGGAGGAATCATACTCCCTGTTAGAAGGCATGTTGGGTTTTTTATCTAAGTCACTGTACCTGTGTCAGCTTGTTGCTAATACCAAAGTAATTCGACTTTTGAGACAGTTGTATTAGGTTTCAAGTTTGGAATGCCTTAAAGTGACTTTCTCTAAGCTTCCAGAAGGGAAAACATGAATAATTCTTTATTCATTGGTCCTTATTAAACTGACAATAAAGACTAGGGTTTTTTGTTTGTCTGTTTGTTTGTTTGTTTTGGGGGGCGGGGGAGGGCAGTTAAATTATGTATTTTGTAGCATTTAGACCAGGGATCAATCAATCAATAATACATTTACAGGATTGGATTCAATTTCAGTTTGAAATCATGATGCTGTGGCCCCAGTGACCTTTTTGGTGTGGCATAAAGGATGTGTATATGTATCTATGTGTACATAGATAGCAGAGACTTCTTGGATGTCTGGGTGAAACCCCAGAGTGCATGTATCACTGTGCTCTGACTTTTTTCTTTAGTTGCTACAACAGCTTTCAGAGATTAGAACCAATTGTGCCAAGTTAAAGCAGATCTAAGGCAGCTCTAACTTATGTAGGAGACACTCAAAAAATACTGGGAGATGCAAAGATAATTCTTCTTCCACCCCTTCTCCCCCAGTACACATACAACAGTCTCACGCAAGCATAACTCAGTCACAATG